TTGTAAACAAACCAGAAATTTTTGTGAAAAGATGAAAAAAAACATTGAAAACTTTTATTTCTGCTTCTTTTTTTTTTGTTTTTAGATCGCAGAAACTTGACTGCTAAAAACTGTATTGTAAAAGTTTCCTTTTTCTCTTGAAATAAACTTTTAAATCTCATCCATTCACTACGGGCACAACGGCTAATATTATCCTCATTAACATGGCAATGAAGCATGAGAAAAAAAAACGAAAACAAAAATGAAATTAATGATTCAATTCTTAACAACTTGCTCATCCTCATTCTTTCTTTTTTTTTGTTCATGATGATAATGATATATCCGTTATTGTTACGGACATAGTTGTGTCTTTGTCTATTTTTTTTAAACTCATTTCACTATACCATAACAGACGATTGAAATTGAAAAAAATCACAACAGTAAAAAATACTGATAATGATGACAGGTAATAATCATAATTTAAAATAAATTATTACAAACATACAGAATGTATAACGAAATTAGATCCCAGTTTTTTTTAAAAAAAACCCGTATTTCTTAATATTAAATAGCTGAATTGCATGGTGATGACATTTAAAAGGAAAAAATGTATGTATGACCATATTAAACATTATATCGCACAATTTCCGCCGGTACCGGTTAATGTTGACAAATAACAATAACAACAAAACTATGGTAGAATTATAATATTCGTAGAATAAATATATTGCATCAACTGTGTAGTACTCTTGACAAAAATGCACTGAGTGAATGGCGTAAAAGAATTATTCTTTTTTTTCTGTACAAAATTCATGTAGTTTAAAGTTTTCACTTGGTGACACATTCTTCTATCATTTAATAATAATCTTTTGACCATTTATTGTAGGTAGTTTTTTTTCCATCCTTCCACCATCCGTTCATTCGTTTCACGTATGTGTAATATATATTTATACATTATTATGTCCAAAGTCGAAATGCCGAAATTTTTCTTTGTCAACAATTCAGTTTTAAAATAAAAAAAAAATTCTCCTGAAAATCATCATCAACAAATACGTTTCTTATACATCTTTATATGAATGATATATATATGTTGATTATTTCTATTGAAAAAAATAATCATCTGTGACGTGGTAATGTCACATCAAATAATAGCCAACAGGCTCATATATATCCATTACACTTAATTAGTTTAAAAAAAACTATACTATTACAGTAGATTCATTTTCCTTTCGTTTATGTTTGATTACTAAAATCGTTCATTTTGAAATCAAATTCCAAATGAATGAATGTAAAATGTGTTTGATATTCTGGCAAATCATCAAGAATTAAAAATATCCAAATCTCGTATTTTTTTTTTTTTTTTGTTTGTCTGTTTGCTATATTTGTTGCGCTTTCAATAACTAATAGACAACAACAACAACAACAGTGCAATTAAAAAAAATTCAAATATATTCAAATTAGCATCGTAAATTCATCTGTCTTCATTGGATTTTGTCGTTGTTTTTGTTTTTGTTGATCATTTATTATTTTAAGTTTATACTACAATGAACCATTTTTTTCTATATTAAAATGAAAATGAGTTTTTTTTCTTCTTCATCTCTTCTTTTATTTTATTTTTTTTTTTTTTTTTTTGTTATACCACAACGTTATTGCTGCATAATTCCAATAATTGTGCAATAGTCCTGAAAAAAATATGGATAATTTAACCATAAATAAACGATAGTGATTTAGAATTATGATCACAACGTAGTTGTGGTGTTTATTTTAACACTTTTTCTTTTTTTACCCTCTTACAGAATTCGCCTACCAACTTTGAGATGATGTACCGGTTCATTTAGCAAAATTTTTATCATTCATAATTTAAAATTTAAAATTGTTAAAAGTTAATTTGTATGTGTGTGTGTGTGTGTGTTTATGGTGCATTCATAATGAGATGAGCTTCAGAAAATTTACATAATTCATAATTAAATTTTTTGAGTGTTGAAGAATTTGTCAATATTCCAAATGTTCTAATCAAATTTTTTTTGTGTTAATATACTCGGCGTGTTATTCTCGAGTTTTTTTTTCATTAAGTCAAAAATCATTGCGATGTATTAATGTAAAAATAGGAGAATATATTGAGGTTATACTTATGAAAAAAATAAGCTGTTTGAAAGCATTACTTTTTTGTTCATTAAGTTTAGTTGATTGATTTATTCCATGATGATTATTATGAAATATGGAATGTATTCTCATAAATTTGATAGAAAAAAATCTTTATTTACCTTGTTCAGCCAAAATACAATCATTAATCTTTCAGGTATATAGGATGGCCATATAAGATTTTTGTTTCGTTTCTTGGCTACACATGTTGATGATTATAATCAAATAATACCTATGGCTATATGACTTTTTTTTTTGCTGGTAATGGACATAGGCAATGGCTATTATTATACGGAAAGAAAATTTTTTAGCTTCTGATTTTTTTTCCAGGTTCTATAAAAACAAACCCTTGATGTTGATGATGATGAGAATTTATGACCATAGTCAAATGATAAAATAGCCAGATGTTTCTTTTATATAAAAATACAGATATACAAATAGACAACCAGACAGGACAGAAATGAACAAAACAAAACAAAATTACCTGAACTAAATAGCATAACAATATAACCGCCGTTTTTTATTCTTTTTTTTCTATAATAAATCTAAGAATAATGATGCATTACATTTGGATGGTTTGGATGTGTGATGATTCATTCATCCACATAAAAGAAAAGCTGCTGTAATTTTTCTTTGTTTGTTCGTGCATGATAAATGAATTCGAATGTGAATGATTTGCTGCTTTTAACGATATAAAATTGGAAAAAAAGGGAAAATCTTTAATCTTTTTTAAATGAAAAACATTGAAATGAAGGGAATGAAAGAAAAAAAAATTTTTATTTCCAAATAAAGAAAAATAAATCGATCCAAAGAAAAAACTATATTAGATTAGTCATATATTTTTCGATCAAAGATTTATTGTTTGTGAATTTTTATTTTTTTTTTTTTTTTTTTTTTTGAATAGAATTTGATTCCATTATGTAATTCAATATAGAAAAAGAGAAAAAAAATCTGAAATTTTTCGTTTTTTTTTTTTTTTTTTTTTTTAATGTCATATAATTAGAGTTTGGTGGAAAGAGCTGGAAAAAAAACAATAGAAATTCCTGTATTATTATTATTATTATTATCATTATTTACACAGTGATTGCACCGTTAACGAATTTCAATTTAACGTAACTGTATGTATGATCCTTTATGTAATGATATTTTACACTTTTTCATATGTAATAGTTTTTTTTTGTTTTTGTGTTTGGCTATAGAATAATGTAATGTCGTGCTTTGAATAAAGATGTGTTTTTATGGGTTATGGCAATAACCACTGTTTTTTTAAACAAGGGGTGTAAAAATTGTCATCCGTTAATCGAGTAAACACTGTGGTATGGAAAATATTCATATCAAATAACAAAATGGTCTCAAAAAAAAATTTTTTTTCTTTTCACTGTCGATAAATTGATATTGTATTTTTCCATGGAAAAAACAAAAAGCAAAAAAAAAATTATTAGAATTCGATATCCCAATTGGACTAGAATTTATGCTTAAAAGAAAATTCAAGAATGGTTACTGGGATTGTTTGGATTGAAATTTGGCCAATCGGAATAGTGTAATATATAATGAGGCATCATTAAAGACTTAAAGAAACACAAATTGATGGTTCTGGTGATAATGGATCGTGAAAAAGAAAAGTTGACCAAAAATAAACAAAAGCCTAATTAAGGATTTTTTTTCCAAAATTCAAACAAAACTGGACTTTTTGCCAATAAAAGTCGTAATCATTCTGGCAATAATGTGTGTGTGTGTGATGAATCCACGGAATAATTTTTTTTGGCTCATTATTAATATCATTATTATCATGTGGTTGATAATTAATTCCTAGAGCTCGTAATAAGCACATTTCATTCATAGATTATTCTGGATTTATCATATATGATTAAACGATCGTAATGATGATAAGGGCGATTGATTAAACACTGAAAAAACTGGAGAGAAAAATTTTTATTTTCTCTTTTTTTTGTTATTGCTGTTGTTTTTGTTTTCGAATTCCGGTTATATAAATATATCCTAAGCATTTTTTTTTTTTTTTTTTTGGTTACTGCCCTACATGTTGGTATTTTATGTTTATTTTATTATTATTTGAGTTTTTTTTTCGTATTCGATTGAATGGCTGGTTAGCTAACTTGGATTGAGATGAATGCGTTTGTGTGTGTGTGTCTGTATAAATTTGATGTATGGCTTGATTCTCAAATGTTTACGAGCAAACGAATAATGGTCACAATAAATTCATATACTACACTGGTAATGATTTATAACATTGATCTATAACAAACAATGAAAAGTAGAAAAAATGGATAGTAGAAAGAGCGAATAATGATGAGTGAGAAAAATGAATCGAATTAACCGAAATGAATGGACTACAAAAAGGGAATCGATCAAAATCCAATATACCAAAAAAAAACAATAAAAAAAAACTTTGTTTGGTTTTTGTTCTGTTCGTTCGTATAAGGTTGACATGGAAGGGGTTAATCAACTTAACCCATGAGAAGAAAACAAATATAACCGGAATTGTGAATGGAATTTGTATCACTCTGAACCAAATAAACACACCATACATCCAGATTCTTGTCCAATCCAATAAAATATGACAAAGAAGTTTAAAAAAAAAATAAATTCTTTGAAAACCAAACAAACATGAACTGAAATTTATTGCTTGAAATTCTTTTGGGAAAATATATTTCATAAATATTGATGATCGATTCTTAATTTTTTTCTTTTTTTTATATTTATTTCATTTCCAGATATCTAGAATTCTTATCGTTTCGTGGATTGTTTTTTCTTTTTTGGATTTCGTATTGGATTTTTTTCGGTTTCCATTAGTTTTTTTTATTTATTTATTTTTTATTTTTTATTTTTTTTGGTTTTTGATGATTTTTTTCCGAATGATTGTTGTGATGAATGATATATTATTATGGAATTTGAAGAACAATCATTGTCGACTATATCGACTTTATTGGCAACATCGATTGATGAATATATTTCTTCATCATCATCATCATCACCGTCTATTGAAGAAAAATCATCATCATCATCATCATTAACGTTCCTATCAACGGATTCATTATCAATATATCTGAAGATTATAATCGGAATTATATTAGTTATCGTTATATTGATTTCAATATTTGGTAACATACTTGTTTGCGTTGCCATAGCATCGGATAGAAGGCTTAGACGTCTTGGTAATCTTTTTCTTGTTTCATTGGGTAAGTTTTTTTTTGGATTTCTATTATTTTTATTTATTTTTTGTTGTTGTTGTTTTCGGATATAAATCCATAAATAATTACCGTTATGAAAATGATATGAAACCAAAAAACTATTGCATATAGCTATTGCTGATCTATGTGTTGGTGCATTAGTCATGACATTTGCACTTGCTAATGACCTTATGGAATATTGGCCATTCTGGCCACAATTATGTGAAATATGGATCGCATTTGACATCAGTTGCAGTGAGTATTATGGTGATTTTTTTTCGTATTATTCTGATTTTTGATTGAATTTTTCATTTTTTTTTATTCTCATTCTTGAATTTTTACTCATTCAGGCACCTGTTCTATTATTAATTTATGCGCCATTGCATTAGATAGATTTGCTCATATTAAAGATCCAATGCTTTATAATCGTTGGATGAATAAACGTATTGTTATTGCTGCCGTATCAATCATATGGATTCTTTCCGGTCTGATTTCATTTTTACCCATTTCTTTGGGCTGGCATAAACCTTTACCATCATCATCAGCGACAACTATTGTGAATCGAATGAATAATACATCCAATCTTATTTCGCCATCAACAATGATGACTATCATCGAATTAAATCGTGGCTATGATCATCATCGTCGAATAGATAAACGATTCTCATTTTCTCAATCACCGGAAATAATTGAACAACAACGACAAAAACGATCAATTGATCGCCAGCAGCCAGTATCTGAATTCGATTATCGCCCATTATTCTTTACAATGTTTCGTCAGCAAAATATTTCAACAATGGCTACGATTGGTCGTGCTCCTTCATTTTATCTCCCCGTACCTATTTTCGCTGAGAATGAACAAATTCATTCGGAAACGGAAAGCATAGAGGATGAAATAGATAGAGATGATAATCAACTCAAAGAACAACAAGTGATTTTTGCTACACTACGCCATTCAAGACATTATTCCACTGTTTATTCAAATCAAATAAATGATCAAATTCATCATTATGAAAAACAAGAAAAAAAATCCGATAAAATCGGCCATAAAAATTCAATATCAACATCATCATCATCCTCGAATTGTATAAATGATTGTGATACGAATGTTGAATCAACAACGATAATACCACAAATACAAGATTTGCCACAATGTGCATTAGATTTAACACCAACATATGCTGTGATTAGTTCATGTATTAGTTTTTATTTACCATGTTTAATAATGTTGTGCCTATATGCTCGACTATATTCAATATGTAAACAACATGTTAAGACCATAAAATCAATGACAAAAATGATTGCACCATGTCCACAGCCGGGATTTATTACCACTACTAATACCGTTATGACAGCTGAAATACGTAATCAACAACAACAACAAAATCCATTATTAACTGATTCAATCAAAATGACAATCAATCATAATAATAATCAAATTGTTACAGATGGACAAAATAAACGTCATTCATCAACAACGACAAATCCAGGGACTTTGAATCATCATCATTCGAATCAATTTCAACATCAACAACAACAACAACAAAGTCATGTATCTGAACATAAAGCTGCCATTACGTTGGGTATTATAATGGGAACATTCTTGGGTAAGTGAAACGAATGAATGAATGAATGAGCGACAGAAGATAAAATAAAGGATACGTTTTTTTTCACTTTCTCCATTATAGCTTGTTGGATGCCATTCTTTTTCATGAATATTGTTGCTGCATTCTGTAAAACTTGTATACCCGCATCAGTGTTTAAATTACTCACCTGGCTTGGTTATTTCAATAGTTGTCTTAATCCGGCAATTTACAGGTAATAACCGCCTATTCCACAGTAGATTATCATTGTAAAATGTCTTTGTTTTTTTGGGTATATTCAGTATATTTAACACAGAATTTCGTGAGGCATTTCGAAGAATTCTTGTACGTTATGTTTTCAGTTCGGATATGTCACAAACATGTAATCGAATTTGTCAGAATTCATGTTCATCGATGGGTAAAAATCGACAATCATCAACATTAATGAGGACAAAAATGGCATCAATAAATGTTGATCAAGAAGCTGGCGACTGTTTTATAGACGATAGAATTGATCGTCATTCACTTCAATTACAATCGAATCAATATGAACAACAAATATTGGGAAAGAAAGCTAATTCTTCATTGATTCTCCACCAATCATTGGATCATAATAGCCATCATACATTATCAAATAACAATGATGAAAAACAAAACATTGAAACACAACAATCATCATCGTCTGATATGACATTAAAATCAAATGGTCATAGCCAAAGTTCAAATGTGGATACTAAACACATTGATGATGAAGATGATAATGATGAAAAACTAGACAATAATAATATTATTAATCTACAGAATAAAGTAGATAAATCAAGAAAATCGAATGAACAATCAACAGTGAAACGACAATCAAATCGACAATATTATCATCATCATCATCGACAACGAAATTATAATAATCAACAACTTTATAATTCATATTCATTTGATCATTGTTATTCGACAACAAAATTAGATAGAAAAATTGATACAACTCTTATAGCCGAATCACCACATCATCATCATCATCGACAAATGTCTTCCGATCCAAATATTAATTTGGCTTTAAATCGAAATTTGTACAATCCAAATCAAAACCACAATCATAATCATCATAATCAATGTAAATCTGATACATCTGCAACATCAATGAAGACGACGATGATCAAGCAACAGAATTCTTCATTTGATGTTTGATGAATTGAAACGAAAAAAAGTGAAAAAAATCAACTCGATTCGGAATTCTTGCCAATTTTTTTTTTTGATAAAAAATGAGCTTTAAATATAACTAAACCAATATAAAAAAACAACATGAAAACAATTTCATCTTTCAATACATCTTATATAGTTTCATATAATTATAATAATCATAATCATAATTTGCACATACAAACATCTGATACTTTTATTCCGAATTCTTTTTTTTTTTTTTTTTTACAATCGCTTCTATGTTTGGAACATATATTCTATGTTGTTGTTATTATTATTGTTATTGTTCGATGATGATCATGATTGTTGTTGTTACCGTTGTTTAATAAGAATATTATTTGAATTTTGATGAATTTTTTTTTAATCAAACCAAAAAAAGTTGTTTTTATTACTAGACTCAAAGGAAAAAAGGTTAGAAACACAGAAACGTTTTTTTTTTGCATTTTATTCGTTCCACAAATCAGACTTTTCTATTGAGATTTTTTTTCGTCGTTGTTGTTGTTGTTGTTGTTGTTTTTGATTCACTACACGCTTTATTTGTGGAATGTTGAATGAAAAAAAAATAAATTGAAAATGAATAATAACGACAACAACAACAACAACAACAACAAAATAATAATAAAATCTACTTTTATGAAATTTTTTTTATTTTGATTATTCAATTCAACAAAAAGAAATTGATAAGGAATGCGTAATTGAAATTTATATTCTGGAATAATAATAATGATGATGATGATTATAGGGCAAACATGACAAACGATGAGATGAATGGTTTTTTTTTCTGTGATCACGGCCGAAAAGAAAGAAATCATAAAATATAGATATGTAATGATAATAATAATAATAATAATAATTTTATTTATGAATGTCAATTTTTGGAATCCAAAATTCGAAAAATAAAAAAATTTCTAAAAAACATGATATTTTTATTCAAATATGGGAGAGATAATAAAACTTAAATGTAATTAATAACAAGGCCATTATGTGTCATGAAATGATACCGAATTATGTTTTTGTTTTGTAAATTAAAGAAGGTATATGTTTTTGTTTTCTTTTTGAATTATGAATATACAATCATTTAATAAACCAACTTTAAAATAACTTATTGGATTTGTTTTTGTTATTTCATCACAATTATGAATTTACAATTGATAGAAATCAATCATCAAGTGGATAACAATAGAGAACAATTTTGAAACCACCACCACGTCCACGTTTCTTCTTTTTTGGTTTTGCAGAATCGTGTTCCGATTGATTCGAATGACGACGAGCACCACATTTTTCACAGCAATCACTATCACCTCTTTCTTCATCATCATCATCATCATCATTACTATCATCAGCATATCGACTTGATGTTGGGCGTTTTACATGAATTTCGAATGGTTTATCATTCATATGAAAATAATGTCCATTTTTGTCATTTTTTTTTGATGATCCCTGATGATTTGATTTATCATTAATATTATCATTAGAACCATCAATTGTTATTTGTGATTCCAAATTCAAATGATTATCATCGTAGATTTCAAAAACATCATTTGCCCCGTTTTCATCATTATTATCATCTTGTATGGAAGACATTGTAACGGATGTTCCACCAGTGACTACTCCTTCATCTCCTCCTACTACAATGGCTTTTTCTGCGCTTCCGTTTTGTGATTGATTACGGGTTACACGTTGATGATGTTGATTGTTCAGTTGTTTATTACGATTGTTTAAACGTTTACTACTTACAGTTTCGGTTTTGGAATTATTATTATTATTTGAAGTACATTCCTGCATACTTAAACCTTCGATATGTACAGATTGTCCTTGAGAGTTGAAAAAACGTAATTTCACTTTTGATGGCCGTACTGGTTGCAAATGTTCAATGGTGGGCTGTCCATCTGGTCCCATAATTCGTAAACGTCGTTTTTTATACGTATAAGGTTTACGTTGATTTTCAAGCCGTGTAGAAAGCTTTCCTGAATGTTTCATTATACCGGCTTTATGATCCGCACGACAAAACCATAATTCTTCGGGTCCAAGCCTCGGAAATTCTTCCGCTATCATACGAGCGAACAATACCAAATGGTTTGGAACCGGATATTCGCTAAATAATACGATAATATAATCACATATAATACGTGTAAATTCATTCATTTCTTTATCCGGAAGGGTTGTACCACCAATTTCTCCATTAATATTCAGTTGTTGTTCATGATGCAGACTTTCCAGTATTATTGGTCCATGTATATTGTGTTTTAATGATTCATTAGACAAGATTTGACGAATTGAGGCAAGTGGAACCTTTTTTGTGTGAAAGAGGAAAAAACTACAATGACAATGTCCCAAATAAAAAGCTATTTCAATACATACAATCTGATTATTCTTGTCCATTATGTAAAGATTTCGTTCGGCCAATGGTAATGTTTCATCATATGCAGATAATGACTGTTTTTGGTCCGACAAACTCAAGATAGCTGTAACTGCTGTTTGATCATAATTAGTTTCGGTGATTGGATCATTTTCTGAATAATTATTAGATGCCATCTCTGTGATAGATGTGACCATAAATTCACCATCATCCATATTGTAATGTGTCCTTGCTTCAACAAGAAAATGATATATGATTTGATCCAAGAAGATATATGAAAATTATTCCGATTATACCAGATTATGAGAGCGAAAAACAAAATTCAAATTTGACTAAATTGTCCAAAATATAAAATGGTTACAATATTTATAATATGGTTACTCACTACTACTACTACTTCAATTGTTGTCGCAGTAAAATCGAGCGTGGATGACTATAGTTGTATACAAATTATTGTTTAGTTTTAGTAATAGTAGTAGCAAAAGTAGTAGTACACACACACACGAAAATCATGCCACAGATGAAAGAAACAGTGGTACAGCTCTAAAAGTGTTAACAACAACGAAAATGTGGTATGATTTTTTCGTGCGTGTAGCAATTGTCGTAATATGAGCTAGCAAAGAATTTTTGGATTCGAAATTTGATAAATTCCATTCCATTGGGAATTTTTCTCTTTCTATCATCATCATCAACAACAACAACAACAAAATATGGTAACAAAATTATAATCTTTGATCATTATTATGGATGAAAAATTACTAAAAATTCATGGAATGATTATTTGATTTTTTATCCCTTCTTCGAATATAACCACCTATATAAAAGATTCGATGAAAAGTTTTGATTATATCTAATCAAAAATAACTAACAATCTACTACTGTTTGTGATATAATAATCTTGGATCTTTTATGGTTATTGTTATCATTTTATCATCATATATCAAAGTGGATTGATCAATTCAACTCAATTCAGTAAATGATAATGATCAGAGATATTTTTTTTTCTATTCGCTATGATGGCAACAAGCCTTCAAGCCATGTAATATTCCAGGGGTCGGCAACCTGCGGCCCGCGGGCCGCATGCGGCCCATTGCAACTTTTTGTGCGGCCCACCAAAGCACCAACATAATTTGAGGAAAAATATTAAATTAAAAAAATATTGTGTCGACAAATTTGCAACAATCAACATCACAAATGACAAATCCAACCTAACACGATCAGTTCAGAATTCAAAATTCAAAATCGAGAAAATAACAAGTCCAAACTAACACAATCAATTCAGAATTCAAAATTCAAAATTCAAAATCCAGAAAATAACAAGTCCAAATTAACACAATCAATTCAGAATTTAAAATTCAAAATCCAGAAAATAACAAATCCAACCTAACACGTCTAGTTGAGAATCGAGAAAATAACAAATCCAACCTAACACGACCAGTTCAGAATCGAGAAAATGGCAAATCCAACCTAACACGATCAGTTCAGAATTCAAAATTCAAAATCGAGAAAACATCAAATCTAACCTAACACAACCAGTTCAGAATCGAGAAAATGGCAAATCCAAACTAACACAACCAGTTCAGAATCGAGAAAATGGCAAATCCATACTAACACAACCAGTTCAGAATTTAAAATTCAAAATCGAGAAAATAACAAGTCCAAACTAACACGACCAGTTCAGAATCAAGAAAATAACAAATCCAACCTAACACGACCAGTTCAGAATCGAGAAAATGGCAAATCCAAACTAACACGATCAGTTCAGAATTCAAAATCGAGAAAACATCAAATCCAACCTAACACGACCAGTTCAGAATTCAAAACCGAGAAAACATCAAATCCAAACTAACACGACCAGTTCAGAATTCAAAACCGAGAAAACATCAAATCCAAACTAACACGACCAGTTCAGAATTCAAAATTCAAAATCGAGAAAACATCAAATCCAACCTAACACAATCAATTCAGAATTCATCACGAATTATCACGATTCATAACACAAGTGATAGAAATTCTAAAATTATTCATATTTACTTTCAAGGTATGAATATGGTCATTGAGAGAGCGGAACATATGTTCTGTGTCAGTTGTGCTATTTATTCTATCCGATTTGTTTTTATGGTGATTTCGAATAAAATTCATTTGTTTTATTTATAAATTTGTGAAAATTGTGAATTATCGATAAAATCAATTAATATAAGCCTCAACGTAAGTCGTATTTTGATCTTTTGCTGGTTGCTCATCAATATCTTTGTTGAAAATGATTTATTTTCAGAATTGCAAGAACAGAAGAGTACGAATCAATTAAAATTCTTGCAGATCGGTTGGATTTGTCATTTTCTTGATTCTGAACTGGACGTGTTAGGTAGGACTTGTTATATTCTCGATTTTGAATTTTAAATTCTGAACTGGTTGTGTTAGTTGGGATTTGTTATTTTCTCGATTCTGAACTGGACATGTTAGGTTGGACTTGTTATATTCTCGATTTTGATTTTTAAATTCTGAACTGGTTGTGTTAGTTGGGATTTGTTATTTTCTCGATTCTGAACTGATCGTGTTAGTTTGGACTTGTTATATTCTCGATTTTGAATTTTGAATTCTGAACTGGTCGTGTTAGGTTGGATTTGTTATTTTCTCGATTCTGAACTGATCGTGTTAGGTTGGACTTGTTATATTCTCGATTTTGATTTTTAAATTCTGAACTGGTTGTGTTAGTTGGGATTTGTTATTTTCTCGATTCTGAACTGATCGTGTTAGTTTGGACTTGTTATATTCTCGATTTTGAATTTTGAATTCTGAACTGGTCGTGTTAGGTTGGATTTGTTATTTTCTCGATTCTGAACTGATCGTGTTAGGTTGGACTTGTTATATTCTCGATTTTGATTTTTAAATTCTGAACTGGTTGTGTTAGTTGGGATTTGTTATTTTCTCGATTCTGAACTGATCGTGTTAGTTTGGACTTGTTATATTCTCGATTTTGAATTTTAAATTCTGAACTGGTTGTGTTAGTTGGGATTTGCCATTTTCTCGATTCTGAACTCTGAACTGATCGTGTTAGGTTGGACTTGTTATTTTCTCGATTTTGAATTTTGAATTCTGAACTGGTCGTGTTGGGTTGGACTTGTTATTTTCTCAATTTTGAATTCTCGAACTGGTCGTGTTAGGTTGAATTTGTCATTTTCTCGATTCTGAACTGGTCGTGTTAGTTTGGACATTTGCCATTTTCGAATGAAATTTTATTGTGGCACGTTACATATTTAAATAGGAATTTTTATGAATTTGTGGCACGGACATCAAAAAAGGTTCGCCATCCCTGTCGTATATGATATAAAAGCACTATTTAAGTTATATTTGAATATGCGGCCCACATAAAAAATTTTATTTTGAAAATGGCCCGCTGTCCGAAAAAGGTTGCCGACCCCTGTAATATTCAATTTAATTTTCTCTAACGATCATTATAATGATTATGAAAGTTGATTGTTTAGCCTATCGATGCCAAATGAATGAAATATTGGATCAAATGTTTTATCACATTGAAAACAATGGAATCAAACACATTATATTACGTATATGATGATGTACATGAGAGAGAGACTTATGGCATATTGTTGTTAATTGAATTTTCACATCTCTCATTGTGTTCATGTGTTTTCTCATCATCATCAAATATATATTCTATATTCATCATTTCGTTTTAAACAATAAAAATAATCCAATCGATTGTAATTGGATAGTGAGAGAGAAAGAAAAAAAAAATCTAAAATTCATTCAAATAAGAGTAGATTATCATATTTTTTTTTGCATTTCATTCAATCAGTTAATAAACGACATCTGGTTACATGAAAAAAGATTTATAGCAAAAAATTACCGTTATTGTTGTTGTTGTTGTTGAAACTTTTTTTTCCAACTTTAACTTTTGTCAATTTGTTTGAAAGTGTTGGCGGAGTGAAAGCCTCATTATCCATCACTACCGGAATATTTTTTTTTTTTTTTGCCACACAATTTTCTTAATTATGCAAAGCATATTTTGTTTTTTGATTTCCAACAAAAAAAAAACAATAAATCCGAATATGTAAACTCTGAACATTTTCTCTTTCATTCATACTATAAATGATATGATTTTTTTATGACTTTTCAAGTACATAAAAAAATCATGTTCCAAATAATAAAAATAAAAATTCGCATGAATGTCAAAAAAATATAAAAGTTTTCAAATTTATCATCACATCAATATTATCGTATTTATAATAGAATAGATTGTACCATTAACAATATTCATCAATAAACAAGACAAATTCAGACAAAATTCTTTGATTTTTTTTTTGTTTCGTTCGTACATTCATTTGAATTTAAATTTTTTTTTTTGTTATACGACAACAAAAACAACAACTGTATAACGAATGTTAAAAAACGAGTCTTGAGTTCTCATTTTTTTTTTTTTTTTTAGTGAAAAAGAATTTGAATTTTTTTTACCATTGTTCATTGTTTGGTTGAAAATCATTCATCAAAACGAATGATCAAATATAACCATAGACAAAAGAAGAAGTAAAAAAAAACTGTGGAAAAAACGGAAATTCAACATATTCAAACGGAAAGATTAATGTTTTTTTTTTCTCATTTGCTTCATTCATTCACGATTTTTGTTTCGAAAACGGAAATTTATCTATAACAATAATGATAACATTCGATTATGGTGAAAAAAATGTTGAAAATTACTTGATTTATTTCTTTTCTTTTGCCTAATTTCAAAAAAAAAAAAATTCAAATGATACATTGAAATAAATAGCCCGATGATTCCATCTAATGAAAAAAGTGCATGTTTCATGTGTATTGTTGTTGTTGTTGTTGTTGTTATTGACGACGACAAGTTTTAACCATATTCATTCGTTTGAATTCTTTTTTTTTTGTTCGATCAAAAGATTTGATTATAGGTAATTTTTTTTTTTTGCCATTTTTTCGGTCAGTATTATAAGGGGTTGGTCAGTAATTTTTTAAAAGTTTTGGTTATTTGAAAAAGATCAGAAAATATATGAATTTCGGTCAGTTTTTTATGTGATTGATCAGTTAATTTATAAATGTTTTAAAATGAAAACCGGTCGGTTTGGTAAAATAAGAAAAATAATCAGTGAAAATTCAAAATAAGTCATTTTTATTAATTTTTTATTCAATTTTATTAATGTATCATCGATTAAAAATTTATAACTAATTTAAATGATTCAATATAAGATACAACAAATGGTTTATGATCATTATCTGGAATTTTATCATGCTGCAAACACCAATTTTCAAGTTCACCAAGACTAATGTTAGATGGTACAAATTTTTATTTCTTGATGTAACTGAGAAAATTTTTAATTTTGTTCAAAGATGCTCACTTCAGTTTAAATATGCGCTTTTTGTTCTTCAAAAAAGCTTTTGTTTCATATTGTAGCCAGATTCAGCGTTGATTGATTTTATCTCTTCCCTATATTCGCCGATATATTCAAGTACTTTAAATGGTATTAAAGTTTTTACGCCCAAATTATAATGTTTTGTTTCGAAATATAGCAAAATTAGATTCATTATTGATGATTTGCATTAAACGATTCGAACAGTTTTCACCCATAAGACATGAGATTTTTCTCACCAGAATAGAGTCGAAATTTTCATTGATTTTTGGTTCAAGATTATGAGATTCGAAAAGAACAAGATTTTCTTAATAATAATTT